TCTTCATCAGCACGTCGGAGATCTTCTGGAAACGCATCCCAAATGCCCGYACGCTCTCATCTTCATCTTGAGTTATTGTTTCAAGGTCCTTGATGGAATACTTCTTATCCTCCAATTTGTAAAGCTCAATGAGGTTCTTCTTCTACGTAGTCCATTTCCCATCCTTCGGTCGAGCTTCCTTAACTTGCCTACCGAGACTTGGGTCCACATTAAATAGGAAGTTCTCTATAATCTCTTCCTCCGACCACTGACTTCGGCTGGCGTGAAGCTCCCACTTCTTCAGATATTCTGTGATACCATAGCCCCTGAAGGTAGGAGGCTCTGAGGCCTTGTGCGTAATAATATAGCGATCCTTGCTCTCGTAAGGGAGCGGATGTGACTCCCCTGTCTGGGGGTCGAAGACTCGCCTGGGCGGCGCCCTGTCTCTATCTCTGTCCCTCTAATAGGAATCCCTCAAACTCTCTCTCCAGTCGTCTCTGTGCCTGTCCGCTATGGTGTCCCTCCGCTCGTACTCGGGGGTGCGTCGCCTCGTCACTTCTCGTCATCCGCTCGAGGTACCCGTCTTTAGAGCCTCCTGCGGCTCTATCGCAACTGGTTCGCCTCTTACGTCGGGCCCTCCGTCATTGGTTTGGTCAGCCCATCTCAGCGGTGCTTCTTGCCTAATTCGTTCCTTCATATCCCTCAGAGCTCGTTCGGGCGATGTCCTGTTCTCCTCTCCTGCTTTGCCCGTGGTCGGTTGTGGTCCCATCGTGTCGGGTTCCATTGGACCGCCAGAAGATGCAGTTAGGTATTCTTGCCAACTATTACAGCCCGACCCTATGACAGTCGTTGCAGCCCGGACCTGTGACAGTTGCGGCAGCCCGGACTTGTTTCCTTCTCACGGCTCGCGTCCGCCTCCAATCTTAGCTCTCGACTGCCTTGATTACCACTTCCAGTATCCCGTACCGGTCACAGATCTCGTGTTCTCCCTCTATCCCAAGAATCCSTGTGTCTAAGTAAACCTCTCCTTCAGGATCGGCCAACAAGACCGTTCCTCTCCGGATCTGCAGTGCACTCGTGACAGGACCTCTATCCTTGAGACAGATCGCAGTTCCAAACCTAGCCAATGTCTCTTGATCAACACCCCTCAAGAGTCTCCGAGCGTCTTCCTCCGTCCTCCTTGCTAGTTCTCCTAGCCCTGTCTTGAATCGGTTAGCCCGCTAAAGGTCCTCCTACTGCCATCCAAAGTCGCCCATCGACCTCTCTAGCTTCCACTATCCTTCCAAGAGTTTTCAATTTCTATTTCCACTACCTTATCTCCCAGACGGCTACGAGGTCATCTGTCTAACAGTCGAGGTAAGTTAGTGCTATAAYCACTTGTAACCTCATCGCCGACCGCTCCAATATGTCATAAAATGTCTCAAAGTCCTCCTTATCTCCACCATCCTCTATCGCCTCTAAAGTCTGTATCGTTTCCTTCCAGTACAGGTCGTGAGCGGCTAGTACCCTGAGTATTGCACCATCTGTTACAACTCTTCCTAACTCTCCAGCTTTCCTGGCTTCGCTTTTCTTCAACCTCTCAGCCTCTCTGGTCGTCTCGTACCATGCCCTTATCCGAGACCGCCCTTCGAAAGGTGTCACTTGGAGTACGTATTTTATCCTCCGTCCTCCTTCTATTCCAATCCAAAGTCCTGTTCCCCTAGCCGTACGCAGCGCGCGGCGGACATACTCTGCCTCCTCAACTATGCACAGTCTGGTATGGAGCTGGAGTTCTATGATCACTAACACTAATGGTCCGTCCAGTCTCCCTACCACATATAATGAGTACCGATCCGTCGTGTGTAGTGCAGTCCCGCTCATGTCCTGTCGCTACTTCCTTGCGTTACTTTGTCTTCCGTTGTCTCGCTCTCTGCAGATCGCTCACTAGTTTCTTCGCGGGATACGCTTCTAGCCTTTACCCTTTCCAGAAAGTCTGATCTCCACGCCTGGATAATCTCTCTTTCCTCCCTAAATATATTGTCTAACTCTCTTGTCACGAGTTCAACCCTACCCAACTTGCCCTCGTCCTGGCACGACCAGATCTCCCTTAACTTGTTCCCCAACTTCTTTACCTGGTTCAAGAGTGGTTCTTTAACGCACTTTCTCACTCTTCCGACTGCCTCACTCTCCTCTTCCATACTCAGTCCACATCTTTTTCCAGCTCATCCTCTCACCCTCGCTC